TAATATTGAATGAACTAACAAAAGAAGAAAAAACAAATAATGATGATAGAGTGAACGAATTAAACAAAATGAACAAATAAACCAAAAAAAAAAGAATAAAAGAGTGAAAGAAGGACAAAATGAATGAATAAATAGCCATTGCGATTATCCATCAGACTTTTTGTCAGTGGCGGATTAAGTCAAGCGGGGGCCCTAAGCAGAAAAAAATTTGGGGCCCCCAAACTTAGTGTGCCGTGGAGAGGCTTTTTAACTTTCAATTATTTCCAACTTATAACTATATAGGTGAACTAAAAACAACTTTTAACGAATTTGAATATATTTTGTCGACAGATTTATTACAAACATTAATATATTAAGTGAATATATAATTACGTTTTAATAGCATCTATCTGCCAAGTTTGAATTTTAATATTGAAACAATTCAATTAATTATAAAAGCCATTGGTAATTAATTAAAATGAAATTCATTTAATGAATTTATATCAAAAGTAAATAAAATGTTTACCACTTAGGTACTTGAAATAAAAGAAAAAAACAGACAACTGAATAACGTTTTAATTATTTGACCACAATACTTTTTTAAAAAATAAAAACAAGCGCTTTCAACAACAAAACAAACATACGATATTAAAGACAGAAAAGTAGGGATGTCCGAAGAAATATCACGGTGGCTAACGAAACGAATGACAGATTGTTTTCAAGCATATTACTGTAAACTGCAAATGTTTGCAAACGTTTATTAACGTTGAATTCAGCATAGTAATTGAAAGAATTTTTTAATAATTTCATTATATTTCAAAATTTATTTCAGTTATTTTTATAAAATAATTTTTTTTACGGGGCCCCCTTTCTATTAATAACAAATATTATTTAAAATTTTATGATTTTTTCAAATTTTGAAATTTCATTATATTGGAAAATTTATTTGAAGTATTTTTTGAAGGATAAATTTGTACACGGGGCCCCTTGGCTGTCCGGGGCCCCTAGCAGCTGCTCAGTCTGCTAAGCGTTAGATCCGCCACTGCTTTTTGTATTGATAACACCACCATTACAAGCAGCTAGCTACCAGCCATCATTGAATGAACCTCCGAACAAAGGACTTTTAACGTTTGTATTCAAAGTCAAACCGAAAGGGAAAATTATGTTAGTAATTGAATCTGAAATAGTATTTTTGTAATAGAATTTGAAATAGTATTATTATTATTATTATTATTAATATTATTATTATTATTATTATTGGTTTTCTTTATATTTTATTATTATTTTGATTATGTTAGCTACTAGTTACTGTTGTGGTGATGATGATGGCGTGACGGTGATGATGATGACGATGGTGATGATGACGATGGTGATGATGACGATGATAAAAATGGACTCCAGTGCAACAGATGTAAATTATTCATGGCGGGAAACTGCAATTGTTGGCGGGAAATTATTTTGAATAACAAAATAAAAAAAAAGAGATGTACTCAGCTAATTATTTCGGAACTATAACTGTTGAAAATACATTCGGGATTAACCTAAATTGTTAAAAAAAATCGTTATAATTTTCGTCTTTTCGTCATCATCATCGTCGTCGTCATCTTCTTCTTCATCGTCATCATTCCTATCACCATCATCGTCTTCATCATCATCATTATCATTAAATCATCATCATCATCATCATTAAATCCTCACCAACATCGTCTTCATCATCATCATCATCATCATCATCATCATCATCATCAATAGTTGTTGTTATCATCATCATTTTCATCATCGTCGTCATGTAACGACTGAATCAATTTCTATATTATATAAATGAAATAAAAACTTGATTATCATAATAATAATTATCTATAATAGTAAATTAATAAATATTCTCTCTTCTTAATGCCTCACTATCTCACCATCCTCTTTTTAATTATTTTATTCAACCTCAATTAACCAACGCTTATCCCAAGGAACCCACAAAATACAAATTCTTCGCTGCTCCTTGTTTGTTTGGCTAACATATTCTCTCTCTCTCTCTCTCTCTCTCTCTCTCTCTCTCTCTCTCTCTCTCTTTCTCTCTCTTTCTCTCTCTTTTACTCTTTTTCTTCTTTTCTCTGTCTTCCTTTTTTCTGTCTTTTTCTTTCTCTCCCTCGTTTTCTCTTTCCGTCTTTGTTTTTCTTTCTCAATTTATAATCTTTTTGCATATAATATTTCGAGTTATTTAACAAGGTTCATGTGTTTCAATGTTGTATCCCTACCTTTGTGTCTCTGGTTATGTGTGTGTGTGTTTGTGTGTATGTGTGTGTGTGTGTGTGTGTGTGTGTGTGTGTACGTTTGTCGTGTGCTTGGCTGGTTAGCTCAGTCGGTTGGAGCGCCATGCTATCTGGTTCGAACACTCCCTGTCCAAACTGAAGAACTTTATAGGTACTTGGTAAATTATTGTAGATATGTGAGCATATTTTGAGGTATAAATTGAAATTTGATTTGGTTGCAACTTTTTATAGAAACTTAGAAATTTAGAAATGAGCAATGATAGTCAAACAAATTTTAATTTTTCAAAACCGAATTTAATAAAATAATTGACAGTGAGTGATAAGAAACTACTATGAATAATGAAAAAATAGCAAAGAATAATAATTAGAAAACAAACAAACGAACAAACGAACGAACGAACGAACAAAATTGTTTTCAGTTGCGTCGTATTAGCGTTGATGCGTTAAATTATGCACGCGAGTTCAAAAGAACGCCTAGATGAATTCAACGACAAGTGCTTCAGTTTAATTTTTGTGTGTTAACTTTTGATTCACTCATGCATTCAGTTCTGTGGGAGTGCAAGGTAATGAATTTAGTGCAGAGGTGGAAAAACTTTTTGCTGTGAGGGCCGCAATAAAAACTATTCTATCTTTGAAGGGCCTCATGTTTACTTAAATAGCTAATTTTTTCGACTCGGGGTAGAATTTTTTAAGATCTGTGGCTCTTTTTTTGGTCATAATGTCTGGTTGACGACCTTCTTTTGACAAACAAGTCCTCGCGGGCCGCATAAATAGCTCCGCGTGTCGAAATTTTTCAACCCCTGGTTTAGTAGAATGACATTTTGGTATTTGTAGTAACGTAGGAATGTGTATTTGAAGTTGTTGGTCGGTTTTGTTTGCTTGTTTGTTTGTTTATGTTTGAGTATATTTTTTAATATGTTTGTAAACTCTAAAATGTTAATTATTAACCTTTTTGACCACTTCACTATCAAAACATCTCACAAAGCATACACGGAGAAGGGCCATCAAATCTCACTTGCAATCAACACATGCAACTCCAATAACCCGCCAAATTCTTGACAACACAAAATTAATTTATCAAAACACCAACACAATACATCTAAAAATTGCAGAAGCTGATTTAACTGTCCTAACAATGAACCCTAAATAAACATCCAACTGGGAATGATAACGTCATTGCCAACTCGAAGCTTTAATACTAACTCTAATAACAATGAAGAACAGAGGAATGACAACAACAAAGATGAAGAATACGACATCAACTAAGTAACTAACCATGCCAAAAAACTAATTTTAGTTGTTTAAAAAAATTATATAAACCAAACCTGAACTGACAATATCTGTAAAAAATATTTTAGTTGTTTGCAAGTATTTGTGTGTATTTAAAAAAACATTTGTTGTTTGTATGTCCTTTGCATATCTACAACGAGCACATGTGTTGGTGTCAACCGTAGCTAGCCACCCAGCATGTCATGCATCGAATATCAGAAACAGAAACAAAATCTAGTCGTTTTTTTTTCATTTTTTCTCTGGCGAATTTAAAAAATTGAAATTTAAAATAAAGTAGAATGAAAAAGTAGCATTCTTAAAGCCCACATAAAAAAACACTCCATGAATATTTGATGAAAACGAGCAAGGAGGAAAGTGAGTGGGAGATAGATGATAGATAGATAGATAGATAGATAGATAGATAGATAGATAGATAGATAGATAGATAGATAGATAGATAGATAGATAGATAGATAGATAGATAGATAGATAGATAGATAGATAGATAGATAGATAGATAGATAGATAGATAGATAGATAGATAGATAGATAGATAGATAGATAGATAGATAGATAGATAGATAGATAGATAGATAGATAGATAGATAGATAGATAGATAGATAGATAGATAGATAGATAGATAGATAGATAGATAGATAGAT